GAATGAAAATCTCATAAGAATGAGCAATGTTGACACTCCACGCCCTCCTGCTGATACACCACAGTTTACCTCATTCATGAAATCGGACAGAATGAGAGAAAGAAGTAGATTGATATCATAATATGTTGAATTTTCTCAATTGGTATTCTGCGGCGGATAGAAGTATTCTTTCATATTGACAATAATCTGTTGAGAAAATAGATCTGCTGCATTATCATAGAAATGACAGTGCAATAATTGAAAAAGCATGCCATTGGTATTCGGAGTGGCATTGTAAATGCAGTTTCTCAGATGACACGCAGGATATGTTTGGTACCTGTTCTCTCTTTGATAAAAGTATAGGCTATCTCACCACCGGTTGGTAAGCCTATATCGTAAGCTTTTGTTGCAGCTTCCGATACCCAGCCATCGAATGAATCTACACTGTCACTATCTAAGGCTAAATATGTTCAATAACCATACTGATCGACAGCAATATATTAGTCAGGGAAAAGAATATTGTTCGGGCTGGTTACATATTTGCTTATGATATTGTCAGTGATTTGAGTCAACCACGATTTAGTTGATCCAAAAATAAAGAATACATTGTGGCCGTTTTTCTTGATCAGTTTTTAGAACTAAATTGATGGCTTCGATATCGTATTGAGCTTGCAATTACTTGAACAATAAAAATGCATTTTGTAGTACGGTTGCATTCGATAAATTTGACAGATCGATAACATCAATAAATTATTGTGTAAAATTGGATTATCACAATTTAGGTTGTACGTAGCACATGGCTACAATGTTTAACTGCTCAGCATTATCTTGATTTTCTTTGTTCGTAGAAGCTGCTCCATAAGGATTTACTATGTGCGAGTTAACAATGCGAATATTTTTCGAAAGAACTATAGCAGGCATATGAAGCAAACTAATTTACACTATAGATCCAGCATCACCTTCAATGCCATAGATGCCTGATATCTGGAAAACTACCGAGTGTGGATCAAATTTATCTACTGCACAAACTGTTGCTTGTAACTGGTCATTTTTTATACTTAACATAGTATAATTGAAATATTCGATCAGCCCGTTAACCGTAATACAAACGGCTATAAATTTACTAGTTGCTTCTGAGGCATTGACCGAATAGAAGAAATTGTTGTCTATTATTCGAGTGAGATAGGAATAAAATGACAACCAACAGTCATTATTTATGATTGTGTAGAAGACTTCTAAGTCATCATGAAACAAATCAAATGCATGTGTATTTCTATTTCTTCCGAACATTTGACGTCGATATTCTTGTTTTCTATCCTGTGTCTCCATGGGTTTCTTCTGCGTTATTTTTCTTCAAGTATTCATCCATCTGCAGTAAAAGAAGAAATAAAACCTTATCACTAATGAAGATATGATGTAATAAAACATTTTTAATCGTCATCATCCGATGGAGTTCATCAATTCAATTTGATCATATTTCTTCCTTTCATCAGATGGGTGTATGGTGTATTATTGGGCATATGTATGTGTAGTTGCGTTTATCTATCTTGAGGTAGGATGTAAGCGGAAAAGGGCACATTCTAAACTCTTAATCACACAAGCACACAGTCACATACATAATTCGCATTGTACTATCTTTATTGTAGTAACAGATATGAACTAATCATCAGAAAAGCTAAGATTTGAGGAATGATAATTGTCGATTGCTTAACCAGTATTGTTTCGGTTAGGAAGTGGGTATGGTTGTGGATGTGAGTTGAGAGAAGCCCTCCTCAAACTCACATCCGTACCCATATTCAGAACCAGATCCACATATTCACATACATTCCTGTTTGGCATTAATTGTTGCCTAAATGGATCTCAACCGATATTCGAATGCTCAATAGTATATAAAAACAAAAGGAAACGATCTTTTGGATGCAAGTATTAGACTATTCTTAATTCAGCAAAGTGTTCAAACTGTTTCAGTCAATATCAAAGCAGCAAAGACAACACTATGATCAACTCTAAACAAAATTTCGACAGTCACTAAGAGAGTTCAATAGTGTTTCTTAACCAGTAAAGACTGCGGGAACTGTTTGTCAAATGACCATACGATGCACTTTTGTTTTGCATGCGGTCCAGATGTCCAGTGTTGACGTCAAATATATGAAAGGCAGCCATAATAAGTTCAAATACGCAACAGCCTGGCAATACTCTGCGACAGCTAGTGGTACATTAGAAACACCAAAGAAAAAAAGGAAACTGATGATTTCAAACGGCACAATACTTCCAGAAAAGAGCATGGATATAGAAATAAGTTGAAAAGCCATTTTACTGTATTTTCTCCAACTAAGCACTTGCTGAAGACGACACCTTGAGTAAAACACACGAGCAAAAAGAGATGCACTAAATACAGTAATACATGTTGACGGAATCATAAGATGAAATACTACTGTCCACAACATTAGATTTTGGTCATTCTTGAAGCAAGCATTGCCGCAATCAATAATTTGATAAATAAAGAAATTTTTGCATGAATATAAATATAAAGCATAAATATAGAAACATAAGATATAGGCAAAAATAATTAAAGGTGATGCATAATGAATATATATATTTTTCCATTTTGTACGAAGCAGACGATCATACAAAAAATGAGAATATATCGTTCAAATGAAACCCATGCCAGTAACATTGTAGACATTGTTCCAATAGAAGTATCGATAAGTCACCAGATGGAGCAAAAGACAGCACTTTCCAACAGTGCTCTACCTTGCTTAAAATAATACAGATGCAGTGGAATGTCAGTTGCGGTAGCAACAAACTGAACAATCAGGAGAATGAAAAGTGCATAATTGTTTGGTGTTGTACGAAGATTTTTGTGAGTCAGAATATAAACGATGACAAAAATATAATAAAAAAACGATGGCGCTTCAAAAGCAAGTAAAGTATTGAATATGAATGTTGGAGTCAGCTGTAGAACATAAGCACTTTTTACAGTATAACTATCGTTGCTTATGTTTTGGTTTGAATCGTTTTGCATTTTGCATGGTCATTAGTTATAACTCACTAGGAAAAGAGAAGCCCTTTATGTAAAATGAATTTACTAGTTGTTCTGTTGAATTCTGCCAATTGTTTTTTGCAAGTCTGCTCGCAAATACAGCAGGATTATATGTAGTATATGCATCTAAAGATGATTCTCATCCGACAAGTCTAGAGATAAAAAGAAGCTCTGACTTCATTCGCTTGATGAGTTAGAGATGTTCTAATGCTTAGCTGTGTGTAGAGCAGGTTGTCAATTCGAAATATGCATATAAAAATTCACAAGAACTAAGTAAGTGAACTTCTGCGATACTAATTATCTCGGGCGTTAATATGCAGAGAAAAAAAATAAAAGCCTTGACTCCAGGTTGAAGCGGTATGGCGGGAAACGGTGGAATCTGTTGAATTTCCAGTGAGTTCTGGAAGCAGGATTCCTAAATCAGGTTCGATTTTCGGTTCCACTTATTTCTTGTAATTTTCGGAATCCGAAAACTATGTTCGAATATAGGTACCCATTTTCGGAATGGTTCCCAACTATAGTTCCGCTCTTGTATTACAACGATAAGATACGATTCATATCACGTCGTTTCTGATCCGATTAAGAAACGAGAATCCAGGCGTTTTATACTCAGTTGTAGAGCTCAAATCTGGCAACTGGATATGACGGCAGGATATCATTCGTAACTTGTCATTTTCAGTCTCATGATAAAATTAGTTTTCACGTGATGAATCAATGATTCTTGTGGAAAGTAGACATTATTTCCTGAAGGCTTTTCTTGCGTCTTTATCTTGTAAAAAATACTAAATAAACTAAGCGCAAAAGACATATTATAGTCGATTCAAACTGTTTGATAAATGGCTCGAAATTAGACGAGGATCCATTTCAAGTAAACCACGATCGAATCTACTCAAATAAGATCTTCAGGTTTTATTCAATTTAGGATAATTTCATAGAGGGAACAGTTTTATGAATTTTGAAGCAAGAACTTAAAAAACATTTCACTCTTCACTTTTTTTATGACTGCTTTACGAAAAGCATTAAAAATCAACATCTCGGCCAATGGGGTCTTGAAAAGACCATACTTCAAGAACGATATGATCGCTTGAGCTGACAGTTTTCATGGACATATATCTTTATAAGTTATAGCCGACATAAAATTTTCAACTCAAAATAGTGAGTCCTTAATTTGTTATGATTCATTCAATAGGAGCTTAGAGCTAATAGCGATGTATATGTCCTAAAATTTTCAGCTTCATATACCCTTCTTTTCGATCCAATAGAACTCTCTGAAAAATGGGTCTTTGACGAAAATAATGATTTGCAGACGAGATTTTGTGGTGTGGGTGTGGGTGAAGAGAACATCGTTTCGCATATCCACACCCTGATGTTTTAGTAAATGAGTGTATTTATAAACATCGGTCTTCTCTCACTCTTACCCCAAGCCTCAGGTTGATCATTTTTATTCAACTTTGTATACAACAAATTAAGTTTGATTTTGATCTAACTGAATCCAACACGAGGGTCGACAATATATTGTTTTTTTGCAAGTTTGCTATGACAACTTTTATTTGGAAACATTTGTGACGAAGTTCTGTAATACGAGATAAAAATCATTTGAAATATTTTTTTTCTTCTGGCAGGCACAAACAAGTTATATAAACACCTGAAGCTTTCATCCTTTCAGTCTATGTAAAGTTGGTTTTACGGCGATGAAAATATTTGAAGGAGAAAATTGAATTGAATTACATTGTGAGGTTAAGAGAAAAAGGATTGATAAAAAGCGACGATAATGGTTATGCAAGTTGTCATTGCACAACAAGTAAACTGTGTACATGATAAACACACTTTGTGGGTTTTTTTTGCTTTTATTCTGCTTTATTTCTTCGAATTGCGCAGCATACTAAAAACACAACAAGCAACAACAACATCATCATTCGACTAGTTCACCGATAGTTCTGAAATATAAATCGATTTTTTTCAACATTAAACATTATCAATGACACACGAACATTGGTATAGTATTTGTTTTTGACTCTTTATTATCTTTTATATAATATCTGCTGACTTTCTAGTGCTCAACACTATTCTGATTGGCAAACAACAGTTCATTGTTCATTCGAAAATGTGTTTAATCCAACAATAGCCTATATAGTTGGTGCTAATCTTCAAAATATATTGGGTATTAAACATTTTAAACCAGATGCAATGGCTAGAGATGCCCCATCACCACATATATTTACATGTCTACGACGAGAAGCAAACGATATTCGTGATAAACTTATTCAAGTGACCACTGAATCATATTCACATATTTGGTTTTCGATGCAAACAGATCCATTTCATTTTCTCTATAATAGACGTTCAATGCTAGGAGATGGTCCGATCATAGTTAAAGAATATCCTGTTTTTTTCTATTTTGGTTCAATGTATACGTATAGTACTTTTAATATTCATAGTGATCCACATCCAGTTATTTACGATATTGGCATAACCAAATGGAAAAATGCACCAGAAACAGTTCGCATCATGTCGAAAGACAGAACGAGACAAATCTTTATACCGGTGAAATGGATACAAAAAAAAGTATTGGTCAATACAAAAGAACGACCATGTGTGGTTTTAATGTTAAAATATTCTGTGAAAATGAAAAGAAAACTTACAAAAAATAATAAATCAACATACGAAAGGTAATATTATAGATAGATCTTCTTAATAGATGAAAACAGAGTAAATTTAAAATTAAAAACAAAATATTTCGTCAAATTCTTTCTTCATAAATAATTTTAATCAAATAAATATACCTTGAAATGAAAATAAGAACTATTGTGCAAATTACGGAAAAATAATGAGTTCAAGTTAAACATCGAACTGTGGATTTACCTAATTAGATAATGCTCTTAGAATATTATTAGTTTTACATTATAGTTCTATAAAGTGATACATCAGTAATTTTTTATATTATATTCTTTCTTTTAGAGTATGTCGAATAGGTGAAGATGAATTCGAAACGATCGTATCGAGAAGTTCCGATATTCTTCTCTCATTCAATGAAATCGAACATACATATGCTTTTCTATCAGAGCTTACACAAGAAACCGTTGATTGTCCTAATAGATTTATAATCAATTTTGTCTCACTTAAACAAGTTCCTTTAAATAATAATAATAATAATCAATCATTTAATTTACCTTCATCGGCATCAAATAAACAACGTTATGCTTTGAAAATGCTTTATTCTATGGGCTATATATTTCAAGACAAGTATTCGAAACAAATTCATGATCAATTTGTAGCATTTGACAAAGAATCGTTTAATAATATGTGCTATTATCTCAAAGAAAAACTCGAAGAAAATCATTGTTATATGTTAAAGCGTATTTTTGATGAATATCATACTTATCTGAAAGAGAAGCGTAAAGAAGAACAAGAATTTTCTGTACAGAAGCTTCCGTATTGTATTGGTTGTATTTCATTGACACCATTACGACTTATCTATCAGAGAATGGAATCATCAATTGGAAATCGAGCATTAAGAATGAGACAATTCGGTGGTGAGGATATGTTTTTACTTGTACACATTCGAGAAGAAGATAATCAAGCATTGAAAGATTTTGATTCATCAATCAAACGTCGACTTAAATCGAAAATGATGCATGGAATTAGAGCTATGGGTAGAACGTATCGTCTATTTGGTACATCAACTAGTCAATTAAAAGAAATGTCATTTTGGTTCGTGGCTATTGAAGATAGACCCATTGAAAAAGCATGGGAAGAGTTTGGAAATTTTTCATCCATAAAAAATGTTGCCAATTATGTAGCACGAATTGGTCTTTATTTTTCAACATCTCATGAAACAGGAGTATGTATAGATTTGTATTATTCATCGAACAGAAAAAAAATGAACAATGTTTTCCATTGTCAAATTTTCATAGGTTTCATTTAAATATGAGGAAAAATTCTCGGCTAATATGCAACATGTAGCAACAACTGTTGATGATATTGAAACTGACGATAAAAAATATTGTTTTACTGATGGTATTGGAAAAATGTCGTGGGGTATTGCTGGTCTCGTTGCTACAAAATTAAATATTAATTTAGAATCGAGAGATGACATACCATCAGCTTATCAAGTTCGTATAGCTGGTTGTAAAGGAATGTTAGCCATCGATCCTGAATCTACATTAAACGATTATTATATCAAAGTTAGACCATCGATGGAAAAGTTTAAATCTGACAATTGGCAATTAGAAGTATGTGAATATAGTAAACCACGTAAGTTTAAAAAACAAAGAACAAACAAACAAATATTACAACAATAGTTTGTTGCTTGCTTTTGTAGTCGAACTTAAATTCAATAATCAAGTGATCATGCTTTTATCGGATTTGCGTAATCCAGATGCAGTTTTTGAATCCTACCAAAATGCAAGTTTGACCAACTGTATGGAACAAAATGAAAATGAACAACAACGAAAATTAAAGTTTTCATTGACTAAGGAAGACTTATTGAAAAATAGAATTCCATTACCATTACATGAAGCACGAAATATGTTTGGTGTTGCCGATGAAACTGGTACATTAGAATATGGTCAAGTTTTTATTCAGTATAAAAATCTTGATCCGACCATTGATAAAACATACATTGTTGTAACTGGTATGTTTTGTTTTTATTTTATGATTTTACGAAAAATTACTTCAATTACATATTTTCATAGGTGATATATTAGTAGCGAAAATGCCCTGTTTACATCCTGGTGATTTTCGTCGATTGACTGCTGTTGATGTACCTCAATTGAAAAAATGTATGCGTGATTGTATTGTATTTCCAACCAAAGGAAAACGACCTCATCCTAATGAAATGTCTGGATCTGATCTAGATGGTGATCAATACTGGGTAAGTCTCAATTGAATATATTGATGAATCATTGTTTCAATTAAAATACTACGATAAGAAAAACACTATTTTATTTTGGATACTTGATTAGGGTTTGTGCACACATTAATGCAGTTATCGGTCAGAGAATAGTACGTCGGTCCGTTCTAAAAAGTAGTTCGAAACTGATAACAACTGGCGAGTTCACTAAGTTTCTATTTTCCATGAAAATATATATTAGGGGCTGAATTTCGTTCTGAAAAAAAACATTTATTCTAATGTTTTTCGAGTGAGTTTTTATAAATCATTAGGAAGAAATACTATGTTCTAGTTGTATATATATATGTATATTTGGCTTTTCTGATATAAAGTTGTGAGATATGCATGTATAGGGTGAAAAAAAGAATTATTCACCTATTAAGTGATAATCACACTCAAAGTCTTGACTTTTTTCTTCGAATTTAAATTTGATCTTTGAGATAAATGTAATTGAAACAGTATAGATTTGCTTGTGCGTTTTAAAATAATGGCGTATACTCGGATCAAAAACATGAAAGAGTACGGATGAACATAAGAAAATAAAATATATATTTTTTGAAATACCACTTGTTGATTAAATTTGATAAGAGTGCGTAAACTGCTTTCAACAAATTTTATCAGAACAAAAGGCATACCTCTAAAATATTTTTTCCATTGACGAAAACCGACTGATTCTATTATTTCAACTAGTCTGGTTGCAACTTTGATACTATAGACTGAATTCTTTACAATGAAAATTGTGTCATTAAGGTATGTTGAGTAGCTTTATATTTTGATTGTTTCTTTGTAATAGGTATATTGGGGTAAACGATTGAAAATCAGAGAAATGGATGAACCATTATCATATGAATCAACACCAAAGAAATTAGTACCTAAAATAACTTATGAAATTATAATCGATCATATCATTGAATCCTTTGGAGCTGGAAGTCAAGGTATTATTTGTGATGTACATTTAGCTATTGCTGATTCTCATGAAAAACATACAAGATCAGATGAATGCAAATATTTAGCTGAATTATTTGCGCGTGCTGTTGATGCACCAAAAACAGGTGAAATTATTGAATTGGATAAAGTTTATGAATTAAGAGCAAAATATTGTCGAGGATATCCAGAATTTATGAAAAAATACGATCAACCAATACGTGAATCGCATAGTATTTTAAATAAACTATTTTTAAATGCAAGATGCTATTTCTTTAAGCAACGTCAGACAAACCTTCAGATACCACCGCCACAGCCTCTTGTACGATCCGATTCGGCTATTCCAAACGCTCGTACACGACGAAGAATTGGAGCAAATGTACAAGACAAAGAATTTCAAGAATGGCTTTCATCTCTTAACATTCATAAATCAGACAGTAAAATTAGTGTAGCTAAGCCTGACTTAGAAAACAGTAGAACGAGTAAAAGCTCGGCTAAAAGTCTTGACACAGCAAACAGCCTAGTTGATGAATTGCCTTCGAAACCATCAATAAAACGACCAATGTCACAAGCTAAAACACAAAGAAATAATCCATTAAAAAAAGAAGAAGGTCATGTTTTAGAAACTGAACGCGCTCAAACATCTTCAGCAAAAAAAGAAAAACTTCCTGTTGAATCAAAATCATCTAAACCAGATTCAACTGAATCTAAAACACCAAAAGAAAATAAAGAAATAGCAGGATCTACCACCACGTCCAATTTACAAAATGAATTAACCAATTCTACTGTGCCATCAGTTATACCAAAACCATCACCAAGTGCTTCTTCTGTTCCTGATAATGTTCTCAGTCGAAATATTGTTTTCAATGGTATGACAGCAGTAACCAATCGGCTCAAATGGATTCAAACAAATGGCAATGCTTTTACAGTTGATCTGGATGCAAAAGGAAACGGTGAAAACAATGCAGTGGATAAAATAGTTAGTCCTATGCTTAACCTAAGAAAAACATCATCATTTTCGGCCGATACTAAATTGGCACTTGTAATATCATGGGGTGAACTTAACTTAAGAATTCCACCTGCAATGGATGATACAAAACCAAAAAATATTAAAGAACTTGCTCAACGAATCAAAGACAATAATGATGTTGAACTTTCGTTTAAAGAATCTGATATCAAAACTGTTACAAAAGAACATGTGAGTATTGACGCTTATTTAGTAAATCATATCCATTAACAAAAAAAAACATCTAATGTTCATTCTAGGAACCATCTAGCAAATCAGCAGCAGAATATGTTCTTGTCTGTAAATGTCTCGATATTTCACCAAGCGATATAGTTTTCATATTCAATGATAAAAAGAAATTAAAGAAAATTTTGTTTTCTTCTCAAGAGTGGATTTGTGCTGTTCGAGGCGGTGAAGAATTTAAGGATAGTTACTACCAAATTCGATGTACAACCAAGGAAATCGATTCAAAACATGAGTTATTCTCTAACTATTTGGAATCAATATTCAAAGATCCTAACTCACTAGATATTTTAACGGGTAGAAGTCCACAAATTTTAATCGCCAGTGAACAATTTAAAAATGCACAGATTATTTCTCTACAACGATTGATTCGTTGTGACTATGCCTTTTTAAGTCAACGAAAGTCGTATCAAAGTCAATTTGATACATTGGCAAATCTCGACTGGGCTTTTTATCACGTTACACATATTTCTATAGAAAAGACAAGAGGTAAAATTTCAACACAAGATACAATTGAATTTCAAGCAACACCCATTCAACTGGCAGATAAATGTGAAAAAGATTTGAAAAATTTATGTGATTTAGCAGAGAAGTTTTTTGACTAACAAAATTTGATAGATATTGAGTTACTAAACATTGCTTTCGGTTTTTCAAATGAAAATTTTATACTTTATCAATAAAATGCAGAATAAATCAAGACAATGACAGTAGATTCTGAAATAGATCTCGTATCTAAAAACTTTTTTCGACTAGATCCCAATCAAAACCTATGCTGAAAACAAATTTTTTCCTGTATCGATGTTATATCCAAGGTAAGAGAGAAACTTGTCACCTGTTTTTTTTACACTTTAGACACTATTAAAAATATTAGTTCAAAATATATATTTTAATGTCTTGTATTTGAGTATCAACATATTTTATTAATAACTGAACGAAAATTATCACATGATAGAAGACTAGAAAATAAGAAGTGATGTACTGAGCACTGTCTAAGGCTATGGTGTTTTATTCTAGGATGTTCCTTTTTATGCATAATCAACAACTCACAACGTTTATGTTATGATTTTGAAAAATCAAACATTTGTAGAAGCGGGACAGTTTCTTATGTGACCACGACACGATCGAAATCGCCTTTTGAAAATACTGCTGAACCCGAAAGGAATCAAAAAAGAAATATCAGTTTTTTGATTCTCTGAAATCGATCTACTCATCCACCTAATCACAAGAACTTGAACTAAATTGTATCACAGATATGTTTGGATATGATGATGAATCATGTCCATTGTCGAACTGTGCAATTACGATAAATCGAGTTTGGCATTGAGAGCATCACAGTATGAAAAATCATTACATTAGACGTAGTCGTTATTTTGCATTTGAAAACACCCTTGATTAGGTAGAATGTATCTTGCAAAACCAAAGTATTTTATACTTAAGTTTATTTTCACAGAAATGCATAACATTGAAACAGCGGATTATTGAGATCAAAAGGCGACTTTAAAAAACCACGAGTTTTTATCAGTCTTTTCAACAATAACTTACATGAGGAGTATGGCTATTTGAGGTACTGCTGTTTGCTCAGTCGCGGTTGGTCCCGCTTTGAACAAGGGAATAGACAGAAATAGCTGACTTCAAATCACTGAAAATCAGTCGAAAATATGCAAAGTCCATTGAGCTTCGGTTATATCCTGTGACTTTTGGTCTTATAAAACTCATAAATCACTGTTCTCCCTCGAGTTCTACCCAGAAATTTTTCCAAAAGATAGTGATTATGGCGATAAGCATGTGAGATCTTTGATGGATCCATTCAATAATCGTTGAGCCATTTCTCATACATTCAACACATGAACAAGAATTCTTTTTACGTTAGGATATGATCTTAGAAAGTAAACAGCATATGCTCATTTCTTCAACCATCAATAAGACCATTGCCTTTGCATCGAACAGCACATTGCTGAAGATCTACAACGCTGAAGTAGTAGACTTCTGTCATATGGACTAATTAGCTACTTCGCTGCTAGAGAAAATGTATGGCGATCATGAATATTAAGCATTTTTACTTGTATCTCTAAAAAGACGATTGCAATGATATTTATTTGTCGAAGAAATAAAATAAGCATTTCCAGGCGTCAAAACAATTAGTTCAATCACTGCTTTCCTCTATTATGTGTGTAATTTTGAGACTTTGCTTATGTTAACTCTACAAATTTGAATTTTATAGTCGAAAGGACTTATTACATCTGGATTAAAAATTCACAAAAAAATAGTCTCAATTAAACTTATAAAAACTGAAGAAATTAGAAATCAAAAACATTTTCTTGTTAACATTTTAGAGGAGCTCGACGAATAGTTGGCGATCAACCAGTTTTCAAATTATTTTGTCAGTTGATTAATTTGGTCTTGTGTAAATAAATCATGTTGACCAACTGGAATAAAATAATCTTTTACAGCATTTGATGCAGCACTTTCGCGATCAGATTGATGACGAGAAGTCCCAACAACATCAATTTCTTCGCTTACACATTTACATTAGTCATGCCAAACCTACTGCAATTTCTGTGTACGACCTTTTTATTTGTACAATACATTGTTTTTCCATAACATCAATTGGTTGACCACCATCCCATCTATGTAAATTAACAATGGTCATGCCAACACTTGTCCAGTCGATATTGAATTATAGTTACGTATCCTGTTTTCTTCACTGAGGTGAAGAGTTTTTTTTACGTATTGTTTTCTGTAGAATAATGAATTTTCTTCTTATTGAAAAGAAATAGTTAAACTATGTGTACTTGCCATTATCGTCCTATGTAGTGGAGAAGTGTAGGAAGTGATTGCACGATAACAACAATACTACTCATCAAACTTCTTAAAAAGTCACAAGAACATTATTAGAATTAACTACAAAGACATGCATTGGAAGAGAAAGTCACCTAGTTTGTAAAATATCCATCTTTTGAAAAAAAAACTGAAAAAAATAAGAAACAAAGGAAATGAAATGAATGAGCAAGATAAAAAAAACTTGTCTCTTTTGTGAGCCAACAAGAATTATTGATAGATAGTATGCTGTAGTGCAGTTTGAATTTTTTTGTAACTGCTCAGGTTACATAATGTGGTAATTATTACGCTTACAAACGATATGAGAAAAAGTACGAGTTGTAATATGTATCTGACAGCATTACTTTTACTTTATGGCACAACTAATACTCTGAAGAATGAATGTGTGCAATGGCCTAATGTGATACTTCCATTCTTTGCTTTTAAAATGTGAAAAGAATCAACCTTTGCTTTTTCCGTTTTCTGCAAGAAGTATGCATCACTATGTAAATCTTATCATCGATATATATATATTTTTGCGGGTAGAACCAATTTATACGAGCATTACTGCTTGTCTATAAATATTAATCAATGTTCTACATGAGCAGCTATGTAACAGTCTCGGACATTCATCTTTGAATTTTTATGTTCTTGATCAACTTAGTAATTTCAGGTAGCTCTCAGTCTATTTTCATTCTGAAACATGATCTCTTACACTCATCAGGAAAACGATAGTTTACATCAACTTGCACTGTACATTTATCTTTTAAACTGCTGACTGGCGTGCAAGTATTCAAAAAGACTGGCCCATCAGATTGACAAGTGTATGGAACGAATTTAACAGCGAAGATCGCTGGTAGCGGGTGTGAGTATAGGAATGTGGATGCGGCTATAGCTATGAATGTGGGTGAAGGTGTGGTGAATCGAAAACTTGCACCCGCATCCATACCCACATCCTATGGCAATGGAAGTTTTTGAAATGCAAAGGACGTTTGCCACTGGCTTGTATCTGACTTCGGTCGCCGTCAATGATTTCAAAAATAATACTTGACTAGATGTCGTTGATGGAAATAGTAGCGGTCAAAGAGTTAGTGTTTTTCTAACGATGTGCAAGTAGTGTTAATCACAGAGACAAATGAACATAAAGAATCAATTTTGTTCTGTAGATCTAACCGCTTGGTTCTCAAAAACTATCTCTCACAATGCACATCAAAGAAATTTGAACATATATTTATTATTAAAAGCTACAAATCACCATACCTTTTCTTCATCTGTTATACACTTCAAAGTTCTGTTTCATCAGCAAAAATCATAGTACTTGAATTGAAATTTTCGTAGCGATAGATCTACAAAAGTCGTTGTTCACATGTTGGTTTTTAATTAGTGACTTCGCCAAAGGTAATGCGTGAGTGATGCCGTACTCACACAATTGACGTCTTACAATAGTTGCATTTCGATATTATGTTTTGCTTTCAGCTAAGATAAACGTTTATCAGTAGCATGACTATAGTCAAAAAACACATTATAATATTTTATGTGTATTGATGAACGACACAACCGCCAATGAAATGTAGAATCAGCGAAACTATTTGCTAAAATTATATTTCTTTTTTTCCGCAAGAAAACGACTTGGTTTATTACCATGTGTGAACTTTGAATGGATAGTGCGTCAATAATCTAACCAATATTCTAGATCTTTCGATTATAAACACTGTATTTTAGAATAGTCTAGTTTGACATATTATAACTAAGCGGATATAGTTAAAAGAATACTAATATCAAAACTCATTCTACTTGTCCACGAAAACACATACTAATTAAATAAACTCATCTACACATATATCTCAACAATTACGAAACACTTATTAGGAATTAAGCGAGTTTATATCCAATGGCAAGATCATATTAATCACTGGCGCGATTTCCTTCAACTTGACATACAAGATCTCAACGGATATTGTGTGCCATATATGAATTGTCTAGAAGCCATTGCGATAACTGACGGCTGTTGAATGGAAGCACATCTTTGGCAGTCGAGGATGATGCCATAACACGAGGATCAAGAATCGAACGCATGTGATCAATTGGTAGGAGTAATGTTTGATCTGCAAAATGAAGTTTTATCACTTTTAAGCGTTTATCCCATGTAACTAGATTATGACGACACATGTAATCAATAGTATTGTGATACTGTGTGGGAGATTCTGGTTGCGTTTCTTGAACGATGGGAGTCCGATGTTGCGGTTCAAAATGGCCAGCTGATGTTGTTCTTCTTATAGATCGAGACGTTTGTTGAATATCATGACGAAATTGTTGGTTTGGCGAATGAATAATATTATTCATGTTTTGCGACGAAGTTGTAGACGATTGGATCATTGAAGATGGAAATCGTATGAACTGATTGTTGTAGTACAACAACCAATCGCCGGATTCGTCTTCTTTGATTTGTCCATGTTTAACGAGGACGTCAATGACATCTAATCGTCGAAATTGATTCTGTCGAAGCAATTGACTATGTTCCGGTGTGAAAAATAGTCGACAACCGTCGTTAGCATTTTCTAAGAGAAACAAATCATTGATATTATCCTGTTTCACACCGTCCTGTTCGATGACTAAGTCAATGTAGCGACAAATAAGATCGTTTTTCTGTTTTGATGACAAATTCACCGTTTTCAAATTTAGTGATGAAAACGAATGCGACTTCACTGTAGCTGCGTAAGGCACTTGCAGAGAGTAGGCACGACCCATGAAAATAAAAGTGCCACGATCGATGATGCCACCATTAGCTAGTAGTGCGTCGATAATGTAGTTTCGATCGAAATTATGAGCAAATACTTGACCATACCAACGAGACGGTATGACGAGACGTTGAGTAGCTTTGTCTAGAAATTCTAGTTCGATACGTTCGTTTTTTTCATCGACATAAACATGACGAATGTGAAAAGAGAGCATTTGATGTTGAGCAATACGTTCGGGTGATTTGGCTTTTTCGTCCAGTAAAATATCGGGTTCAACGTAACGGTAGGCATATGTTCCCGTGTCAATATCGTATCTAACGTTCCCATTTTGAAAGAGATAAGTCGCCACAGCACGTACATCATCAGTTGGTGCCATATGCTCCCACGGAATGCACAGTAACTGCATGTTATTACCATCAAACAACTTGATGTGATTCTCGCGAGATTCTGGATCAGGCTGAACGGTATGCACGATCGATTGGAGCCATGTCAATTCATTTCTGTCTGGTGCGATAGTTTGAGCGTTAAATGACAATTGTCCCGATGATTCAATGACATACCTGTATTTGAGTAGAATTCGAGCAATATCCGACATCTTGATAACTTCGGTTTCGTCTATTATTTTTCTATTGCCTGTCTTGACTTCCATGTAAGCATTGACATCATGGTAATTGATAAATATCTGTTGAGCATAATCGTTCTCACCACCGGCCATAATCACAATATCGTTTTGTTCGGTGATAGCAATCAATTGTTCTCGATTCAATTGATCGACCCATTGTGTAAGAAGACTAACTTGACTTTCATCAAGTATCATATTGTCTACCGATGCCGAAAGTCGCTTATCATCGTTAGATAAACGTCGACGCCCTTCTCTAAGTGATCGAAAAAATTTTTGCTTCAAATTCTTGAATTTCAACATCTAATTACAATATAATACTGTCCAAATTTGTCGTTAACAGTCTTTTATGCCAGGATGGATGGTAATATATGTCGAAGTTAATAGCATCAACAACGATCAATGCCTAATTCGAGGTCTTGACAGATTACTCTCGTTTTATTTTTGTCCAATTCGATTTGTTGTTATTACTGTTGTCCTTCTGAATGTGAAGACACGAAGTACACGTGCACGTAAGTAAGAGACGACGACCTTCAATAAATTTGAGCGTACCGCCACTGCTCCCACTTTTCCATTGACTGTATGCATTAGCGAAGCGATACTTTCAAAGTGTACTGTTTGTTCGTCGTTCTCTATTTTCATTCTGTTCTTCGTTGTTATTTTGTTGACAGTGTGAGCTTCATGAAATGGAAAAAAAAATTTTCCTCCGAATCTACTCCCGGCACTTTTTTTTTCTCTTTCATAACCACAAGTTGACGATGAAGACACGATGATGGTGAAATCAGATCGATTGAAAGTTAATCGAACCAGTGCAGATTGTTGCATATGCGATTTAAAATTTGCAAAAGTTTCCTTGTTGGAGCTCTTTTCGTGACAAAGAGCTAAGATTTTACATCTCTCTTAGTCAAGATCAATACTATGCCTTTTCATATCGTCATTCCCTGTGATGTCAAGAAAATTTTGGATAGAATTCCGATGCATTGCAAAATGAAACGAAGCCACCAAATCGGTGCCTGAGTACTGACTAGACATGCACCCAATTTCAATAACAGAATTCGAATATTTCAAACTTATCTTGTTAATTATAAATTATGCTATTAAACTGTCGCGTCATAAATATAGAAGGACGTCTGTCTCTGACAACCAAATGAAGAATGATCCAATGGACCGTTTGGTTTAATTGAGAGATTGAAAGGAAAAGTAAAAAACAATCCAAACTCATTGGATTCGTTTTTCTGATTAACTCTAGAACATAGTATAACAACATTACCGAAATTCTTTTTTTGACATTCGGTAGTATCATTCTCCAACTTCAATTTTGTACGTACCAACAGTAAAATGTTATTCACATGATTCAGTATTAAGTATTTTTATACATGCATAATCTTTGGATTTTGGCCTTTTTCCATCGTACAGTGGCAAAGAAATTTAGAGTCTACAATAAAGAACTGCATTCGTCGTTATTAGGAGTAGTTTCCTTAAATCCGAAGTTAAGTCAAATTAATGTCCCTAATAATGACGCTATAATAAAATCAAAGTAGAAATTAATCTTTTGAGAAAAAAATTTGTTCCATGTTTCCTGTTCGGATAAGCATAAAGGTCTTGCTGATACTTTTGAAAATCGCATCGAGTTCTATCATTATCCAAAGTTTCATAAGAAATCAGTTTTCATTTGATGAGATACCTAACTTGACGAGCAGACATCCAAAACCATTTTTAAAAAATATCCCTAATAATGACGATCACCTAAGAGTTTGGTGTGTAGGTTGTCAGATAATTGTAAAACTTTCACATCCACCCAAATTTATTATATAATCAATAATTCAATTTTTGATTCTCTTCTTTCATATAATTCCTCTGACAAAGATCTCCAATTTCTCTATTAAACACGTCATCGTGACGATGATCGAAATGAATAGGGAGTATTCTTAAACAATTTGTTTATATAATTAGTTTTCAAAAACAAGTTAGTATAACAATAAAAAAAATATGAATAAAAATATTATGGGCAAGCAAATGGCTATTTTATATCAAGACATTGTAATTTACCACAATTATTACGTGATGCATCATTGGCAAAATTTTTTGTTAAGATGGTTAATGTTTCATATTGACTTACAAGACTTAATAGACGAGGTAGATGAGTATTTCTTTCATAAAGACATTGGTCAACACAATCAATGTGTCAAATTAAAATCAAATTCAATAAGATGTGAAAATGTAATGAATGGGAGTGAACATCGCTTATTTTGCTGCACTACACAATTAAATATAGTTAATTTTTTGAGAAAAGGAAAGTCTTGAGAAATAATTTTGAATAATTCATGTTCAAATAAACCCCCATCAGCCATTAATAACCATCGAATTTTACACTTGGAAAACCGCTGATTAGATAAAGAAAAATATTCAATGGATGTGGAACTAAATAGATACGACATTCATTTGCTCTAAATAGATCGTTAATAACATAAGAGCCAACTTGATACATTCCTCTTTCTATAAAACTACGCTGGACATCGTCATTTGATGGAATAGATAAACAATTCGATTGTTATAAAAAAATGTATTACAATATGATTTTAATGAAAAACACTTCAGCTTAGAGATTTTCTTCTGTTGAAAAAAAAAAAGAAAGAATGAATTTTTATTTGAACTTTTTTTTTCAAATATAAACAAAGATTCCTAACGTCCATCAAGAAAACAAAGACAATCATTGAAAGTATTGGCAAATATATTCAACTTAGATAAAATCGAAGATAAACAACTTGTTGACAATAGATCATGAATTGAAGTTTTTAGACTTTGTTTACTGAACGATTGACTAAAGATTAAATCATTCAGACGTTTATATGTAGATAATAGCAATGAAAATATATTGGATTCGTTTTTCACAAGAGAATCTAATGTTATTTTATCATCATAAATTGAGATCATGAATATAAATAAGATCAAGTATTAATTGATCAAATTATTGATTTCCATTCAGCAGTGAATATAATATATCGATTTTACTCATTTTATTGATAACAGTAAGTAACATCTCATTTGGCAAATCGAGCATATTTAGGTTCCCGTTATTATTTAAAGTGTTAATATCAAAATGAATACTTTATAATAACTTTGATTACTCGTTCTATATATCTATATTTATACGATTATAATTTATCTTCATCATCATCTATAAGAATAATAACATCATATTATGCATTAAACAATGACGGACGGCTGATTTTTTTTTTAAATTTTCTTCCGTATGAGTTCTTTCGATCACCATGTGTCAATATTATTATTGTGCATCATATATAATATAAGAAAAAAAAAACTCTTAAATATAATTTTTAGCAAATAGTATCACCGATTCATTATATTTAAAATTAAACTAAAATGTATAAATAATAAAAATATATTATTAGCAGTGTAACTTATGAAGAACACAAACACTGTTAACTTCCAGAATAGAATCTTACAACCCGACGTGACCTGTAGATGGAAACAGATTGAACTTTGAAATGTATTGGATTCTTTTTCCTAACACAATCTACCGCTCTCCATGTGTTTTTCTACGATTGATTTAAAAGTCAATGTATGAAAAAAGCTATCGATACATGTGAATCATAACATGCTGTAGATGTGAATCCCACAATTTTAAAACACCTTCACAGTTTATCTTTTCTCTTGACAATAGCAAAAAATCATCATTTGGAACCTTTGCATATCATTGCACAGCATGTTTCATTAGTTTATTTTGAGTTTACTGTACTTTTGCAAAATTTCAGACATTTTTTATTTTTATATCATTGGATAGAGCATTGATTATACTTTATTGAAACTCTACAGTTTTATTTTGATTGATTTTGCATTTTGGCTTGTATTTGAGTAAATTTTGAAAAGTCGTAAAAAAATCTTTTGCACACTTATATCTAAATGAGACTAAATCTAATTTTCGCAGAAATGATTTTAGGTTGAAGAGATTTTTCAAACCTTAAAATTGTAGAAAATACTGAATGAAATCGTGTTGAATTTAAGGAGAAAATTTAACGTTACTGTTCAAATTTTAGGCAATTTCGTACTAATCAAAAGATGAGGAATAGATCAAATAAAAAATATACAGTTCAATAGAGAAGTAAATTCTTTATCCATCTATATGAAAAAGGTTTATTTGTCCGGTAGGTTATAATTACTCGAGAAAAATCCTAAGACTTTTTTGACTGCTTTTTTGAAATTACAAAAAATGAATGAAAAATACATTTTTAGGCAATCTGAAAACGAGGATACCTTTCTTCTGCTTGTATTTTTCCATGTTCATGAACAAATTCAATTCAAAATGTACATAGGTAGAACTGTAGAGAATACCGCGCGCTATCAGAATATAATTACATTTGTAAGAATATTATTTATAACAATGATATATTAAAAATAATAGGTCTAACTACTTTTTTCTAATGTTATTAGATATGTTAAGAAGATGAGTTACTAATTTTTCTCATTCAAGAAAGTTTCATACCATTTGTTTATTTTGACGGATGTTATTACATTTTGATTTTTAAAATTAATTTTTATAATTATAATTTCAAACTAGTTTTTAATGCAATAACAATAATGATATAATATAAAAATATTTTTTATTTGTTTTTCAAAATAGTATGATTACAAGATTCGAAATATTGTCAAATGAAATTATTCTTATTATATTTTCTAATTTATTATGATCAGAATTGTCAACATTTTTATGGTCATTAAATAAATGTTTCGATATGTTCCATTCTTTCAACAATTGAAAATTAATTAAATATTGGTCTTGCTTTTATTATTGAATTAGGTTTATTTTTTAATAAATGTCATACAATATTGTTTTCATTTATTACCACCATTTACTTTTTGTGTTCAGCGTATTCATTTTGATGAAACAAATTCTAATGCTTGTGATTTTAGCGAGACTTTTTTTTTTTATCCCATTGAGAAATACGATAGCTAAATGAATTTGTTTTTTTTTCTTCCAACTACTCTTATTCGATTCTTTGCACAAAACTTGGTATATTATACTTTTTAGTGTCTAGCTTTTTATGGTATTTTGAGAAAAACCATTAAAAATAAAATAAAAAAACAATGCTTTTTACAAATATATAAAAGTTGAAAATTGCTGGTGAAATTGTTCAAAATACAAAAATTTTTGAAATTTGAAAAATTCGAAATTTTGCGTGTGTCAGCTTCGATGAAGTGATAGCCAACATTCACATACATCTATCCACACCCTGATCGATACGATATATATTCCAATAGATGAATGTAACAGTACGAGAGAAATCGATATCCATTAGATCAAGACCATAATGAATCACACAAAATTAGATTCGGTGACATATTTCTATCTATGTTCTTCTTTATTGATGCTACAATCTATAATCACTAAAATAACATTCTCGATCAAATTCTGAATTCTTCTACTATCACAAATGCATTGAGTCAAGAATCATTCGTTTTTTTTATTTGAATAATAGACGTATGCAATAACTGAAATTTTATGCTTCTTTTATTTCAATAAAAAAAACAGTCTATAACAAGAAACGAAAGCTTTATATGCTTGATTAAGTTGTCGATTGTTCTCTTGTCCATTCATTCGTGACCTCTGAATGAAAACAAAACAATATTTAAACGATTATCAAACACTATTCCTTACTTCTTATGATCACCATGTTCACTTGTACTACTATCTGTACTACCTTGGACATCCTAAAAAAGATGAAGAAAAAAAAAACGTAACCTACTCATAAAATTATATTATTGTGCTTCGTTTTTTACGCACCTTTTTGTACTAGAAAAGACAAAAAAAAACAATGGGATGGATGATTCAAAAAGAAATGATTGTACCTGATTTTCATGACCCTGATGTGAAGCAACATCTTTATCATCAGATGGATTAAGATTGTGTTTTTCGGATTGTGTACGTGGATGAGCTTCTTTTTCGGCCTTCTTATCCGCATGTTCTAAATTTGAAAGATCAACAAAAAAATATGTTTTTTCCTCATTTGTATAAATTAATCAGTACCATGATACGGTTTGCCCTCGGAATTTGTATCAACATGAGACATTCCGTGAGTAATATTCGAATGAGACATAGTTTTTTTGGAAAAATGAAAAACGAAGTTTTTATCTAAAGTAGAAAAAAGATCAGAGTATATTTCCATCGAAAAATTGTACAGAATAAGAATGAAAGAAGATGAAACTTTATGAGGGCATTAAGTGTGAAATGAAGAAAAAAATCACCACAACAAGAATGATTGAGCGCTAATGAATTGTTGTCACATCGGTCAAGACAGTCCATTGGTCTAATTAGAAGATAGATCCTCAGGACCTCTCAATATAAAAAGTTTTCGTTTTTTTGTGACCATCTTTCGTATATAATTAAAGTCTATCGCAGACTTTCGAGCTGATAAACGAATGATTCATCATATTTTCTGGTATCAGATGTCGCCACTTGATGAACAATTACGACTTTTGAAAAATTTGTTGTATTTTAATCGCTCTTTTTTCAATAAGTTTCCTTTTATAGCAAGTAAATGCTTCATTTTGGTATATTATTAAATGAGACAATACTCAGAGTTTTCGTATGTTCAGCTTCTGAAAATGATTGATGAAAATTCAGCACAGAAATATTGAACATTAGAAACAGGTAGGACAAATATTGAATTCATTGGATAAATATGAATCGTGAATATGAAAGCAATTGAAGAGTAAAATTAGATTACGAAAAGTACCAATCACTGCTAACATGAGCTAAGTGAGATTTTCTCACTATGATGATAGGACGACGAAATGTTGCTTCACTGGAATGTGGGTGTAGGTGTGGTTACGGACGAAGAAAAGACTTCAGCTTCACGAAAAGCAAAGGCTGCTATTAGCAATCTGTCAATTATTGTTACTTTCATTTCCGTGTCTTTACGCATCATTGAAGAAAACTTCCATAGGCATAATGCGCCTATTGATGGCACCGAAAAAACGTTATAGAAAACTATGGACATATAGAAGTACTCTTGAGCGAACAGAGCCAAAAGTAATATTTGAATAGTGCTTTATTAACTGGATGATTGGTTAGCATGTTTGATTCCAGTGTGCATAAACATACACGAAGTCGACGAAAACACTACTGAAAAAAAGTCAAAATACCTCTTCTCTTCCGATGCACGTAATACAAAAAAGTGGCGAATGCTGTTTTCTAATTCATAATTTTTGAATGAATATCGACACAACTGAGCCACATGGGTGTCGTAAAAAATGATGAAAAAGCTGGCTTTCTTCTACTCATTCAGATTCTTTCGTATCTGAATCTATAATCAAGTGACAGGCTAGTTTTTGCCAATATCTGTAGACTAAAAAGATTATCACGCACTTCGACGTTACCAAGTAAATAGCAAGATATTCGAGCTACAATTATCCTACTGACAGTCATTCATATTGAGAAGGTTATTCGGAGCATTAGTCGAATGTATTGAATCTTCTTTATTATTCTGAGTAATTTGGTCGCAATGTAGTAGTATCATTGGGCTGTGGAAATCTGTTTCACTTTTTATTCATATGAATATGAAATACGAACCCAATTACAGAACACAGCTAGCCTACATTGGATTGAAGTTCTTCCATAGTGCCATTGATCAGATAGGCTTAAAGTTGAGCCTGTCGATCGTGTAAACTAAGTTTATAAGCCAATTGTCTTTCTTGAACCATATTAGTTACTTTTGTTGACGTAACTAATGTATCGTTTTTTAAACTATTAAGTGCTTGCCGACGTTCATCTGTATCATCAAGAGCTAGCAAATGACCGATGCCGGCAATATGATGCATCATGTGCATATTTGAAATGTCGTAATAAGTTTTAGCCATTGTGTAAAGTAGTGCAGCATTTTGATCGATTTCCTTTGCTGCAATCAAAACAAGTTCGACAAAGAACTCATGATCTTCATCCAGTAGGGGAGCGTTTGCAGTAAGTGCTTCCTCAATGACATTGGCAAATCTTGAATCAATTAATTCTTTGATACTATCAGCCTGAAGAGAAACAGTAAGAAAGAAATGACGAATTTCACTCCGTTGTATCTTCAAATTCTGAATTTGGTGAAAGCTTGCTTAAAAATCTCGATAATTTCCTCCGGCTGGATCTTATCGAGATCCAGAGAGGCCAGCTGTTGAATGAGTGCAGCCAATTTGTACGAATCACCGAGCTGCTTTTGAAACCACTCATCACGCTCGGTCTCGGCTCGTTTGAGTTCTTCAAGCTTTAGTTTCGCTATGGCGATTGCATTTTTCAAATGCTGTATTACTAACTGATTGCATTACTGCAAGTCCACCATTATTATTAGAACATTTACCAAACAAACAGCCGATGGCATTGATGGGTTTTGTGATCGCATTCCACACACCGCCGACGATATTGCTAAATCAACCTTTAAGTGTTGGTCGACCAGGAACCGCGTCCATAGCATTCCAATATTCTTCCCTGACTTTCTTGAGAGCTTTGCGCTTCGCTTCGAACGGTTCCTTGATGCTTGTAATGTTGGCTGTTAATAGTTGAATTTCATTCGTACCATTACTTATTTCCTGCTGTAGCTCCGTGATGAGATTAGCATTTGCTGTTTCAGTGTTCATACTAACACGAATAATTTTTTCAATAAGATTTTGTAATTTCCAAACTTCTCGACCGTGCTATTCGCTGCATTGACGCATACATCAGCAATACGAACAATATTGGGCAATGTGTTTGACAAAAGTACTTTGATCATATTGAGTGATGGAAGTACAAAGGCAAAATCTTTCTGACTGGACAATACCATCAGATTATCCAAGTAATTTATCACAAGCGGCCCCGCTACCATAAGCTGCTCCTACTTTTCGTCGATATTTCGTTGCGCCATTAGTAGAGCATCTAATTTATTGTTGAAGATGGCTAAATCGGATCGAACGAGCATAATATCTATGAATTTGAACATAGTTACAATTAGCGTCTAGTAGTATAGCTTCAAAAATGCCACTTACTGTTATCAATACCAGTATCTTCTGTTAGATAATGTATAAAATCTTGATCGGTCATGATCGGAAGATACATACGAGTAGATCGATCCATCCGAAAAATAGTCATTTGATACGAATCCGTGTAAGAGTCGATGGTGGCCAATATCGAACCTTCGACAGACGAGAACAAAAGTACCAACACTAGCAGCAATGCATTGTATACTAAATAAATACAATTGTTTCTTCGAGCACGCAGTCGAAAACAAACCCACCTGATAAACCAACAGTCGACATTCTACAGCGATGTAATGATATTCTCGGTGCACAAATCCTCATGCTCGGATATTAATATAGTATACAGTAGGGATGAGGACATCATCATTTTTGGAGAAAAAAATGTTGTTCTTGCACACCTGATCAAGATTCCCAGCAAAAACTGATAATATTTTTCTCCAAAAGAATATCATGCTTATCATTCTCGCGTTTCTACTTTGAGTAGAGCATCGAATATTTATTAGCGATCAGTATTCTTTATGATTCCCATTGTCAACGAACATGGAAACCCACTGATGAGAAGGCAGGGTAATACATCGGTGAATAATATAACATCATCGATGATGGTACTGAAGTTTCTTATTATAGTTTACGCGAATTTCATAGCAAATTTCATCCAAAATATCAAAATTCAAGTTGAATCTTAGGAGAAATAAATATTTCATTTTGATGATTTTTCATTCACTTTTCCAGTTTATTTTGTTCTAAGCAAAGATGTTAACTTAAACCATCCATATGCTGAATAACAGAAAAGAAACCGGTAACAGCATAGATAAAAACAATATTAGATTCTAGTCTGTTAATTTTATTTCATGTATTAAGCGAACTGATGTTTAGATTATTCATTTCGAAAGAACCAACATAAAAATGTCGACGCTGCAAATAATACAAATAATTATAGTTGCAATGACAATCAAATTCGAAATTAAGCGCGAAAATCAATGAAAATAAAATTTTGAACACTGCTTATCATCTTTCTATCGCAGATTTAACCAAGAAAATGATCTCCAACAAGAAAAGCATTTAGTTCTGTCTTGATTTTCTTTTCTAATGCCATCTTCTGTCATTGAATGATACCTTCCAAAAAGAAAATTCTCAGAAACCTAATTGAAAGTGACACATTTTCATTCGATTTTCGACCAAATCACATATGCTGATCATTCTATCGAAGGGTCAAGAATGTGGATGTATGGAATATGGGATATAACTGTAGATATGGATGCATATCAAATGAATACTCACACCCACATCCTCAAGTCATACGAAGTTGTTGATTAGTATCAAAATGTCGCAGTATTTACGCAAAATTTAGAATTGTGTACATTTCAATGCTAGTTGATTGATTTCAACAATTGATCGAGAGTAGTTTCAATATTACAATGTGTTCTATCGGCGCATGCTTCGATTAGATGTACATAACAATTTAGAAATTCTTTTGCCTTCTCATCACTTTCCATATCGTGTGCGAGTGAAATGTCCAATTGACCATCACCGACACAAGTAACATACATGACTGTGGACGAACGATAAATACTGCCATTGTTGATAACATGTAAACCTTGTAATTGTATTTCACCACAATTGTACTCGCAGGAAAATGGATATTTACCAATATTAGAGAATGCAAATTCCGATTGACGTCCTTCATAGAAGAGGCGATTGAATCTATTGAATTCATGTTCATGCCTTGAGATATCGGTAAACATATTCGTGATTAATGGAACACCGATTCGGTTCAATTGATTTCGAGTAATCATCATACATCGATGTGCCAATGACCAAAATCGAGTCGATCGAATCGAAAATGATCGATTAAATTTAACTTCACCAATACCAACAAAAAATCCGACTGATGATGATGTAAGAGGAGATCGAACAAGACGCGAACGCATATCAAAATTTACACCGATACCGAATGGCTTCAAACGAGTATTATTTACGAATGGAAAAAACTGATGAATAGCCAAGAGAAGACAGGCGAAAAGTGGACCATTTAGTGTCATGTTATGCAGATGACATTGTTCGTGTAAATTAACATATAGATCGGATGAGCTTGAAGCAAATAAAAATTTGACTCTATATCGTTGAACAAGAAACTTCGATGGCCCACAATGGAGATGAGGTATCGCTGTCACTGGAATACGTGGATGTCTCAATTGACGTAGTTCATATTTGAAAATTTGCTTCACAATGAATAATGCCAACGGAAACAATGAACCGAATGGTCTTCGAATCATTTGATTAATCGATGGAAGAATTTCGTTATTGACTGGCTCTGATTTTGAAAATAGATTGGGATCAGTAACTAAAGTTAAAAAGTCATTGATAAGAATGTATCCACTTCGGCCATCGGAAGCACAATGATTCTCAAAAAGAATGAAATGAAAGAAATTATCATTGGACTGTGGTGAATTGAACAGAAGCATAAAATGAAAAAGTGGAAAAATCATCGTACCATTGTTCGAATATGGATCTTGATTACATCGCTGTTCAACGATTTCTTGCCACGAATGATAAGTTGCTTCAACAGTGGAAAAGAACAAACTGCTCGATAAATATTCACTATTGTATTCTAATATATCAAGTAGATATTCATCTCCATCTACTCGAAGACGTGTGCGCATGCGAGAATGACGTTTTAGTAAGCATTGAATGACATGTGAAGCCTTTTCTATCAGTGTCGAATGATTGCCACTTAAATGAGCAACATGTGCAATAGTTGTCCAACTGCCACGTGCGCAGAAAAACTTTTCGAAACCATCGATAGTCAATGTAGAAAGTACCTTACAGGACATTTTAACGTCTTATCTTCTCAGACGAGTATTGTTTTTTTTTTCAATGCATTTATTGACAAAGAAAAGTAAGAGAGTTTCTTGCTTATTCTTATCTTTTCGTTCTTCTATATGAGTCAGACTGTAAGTTAAAACACTGGTTTCATAGTCTCTCGAGAATCCATATATTCTAGTTTTGCATGCGGATAGGAAATTAAAATCTGCCATATAGTTCGATCTGGAAATAACAACGAAGCTTTTGCCGAACACACAAACATATTCTTGTGAGACATTTCTTTTCTGCCTATGCTCAGAATTATTGATTCTTTTAATGAGAAAAGAATTATGGTGTCCGAACCTCGAACATCAAGCGATAAACGTCACAAAAATCTGTATGAATAACTCGAGGACACATTTATTCATAGCACATTAAAGATGAAGAGGAACTACTTGTCTTGACCAATTGTTAGTACACTAATAGTCACAAATGTTCTACTAAACAGAAAAACAGAAAATTTTTTAATTTGATCAACAAGTTCAGTAATATGCAGATGGAGAAATTCGACACCGAATCCTATCGGATATCATAAGATCCGACCAGCCGACTGAATTCAATGGGATTCCGGGTTATGGAATCACTAACAGAGTTTCATATTAAGAGGTGTGAGTATGGTTACGAGTTTGTGTATGTGAAGCTTATCTTCATCGACACCCACACCCTATCTTATACACTTACGTACTTTCCGAGGTTTGAAAAATTATGGATACTTTTCATTTCTAAGCTAATGAAGTGTTCTAGACCACATGCCACGGTGTTTTCATCGTTCAGATGAGCTAACAATTCACTCAATAAACGACAGTCCATCAGAAGATAAGATGTATACATATTGAAGTAGTTCCAAAAAAATGCAGATATGATATCAAGTTAATAGCCGAAAAGTTACACGTAGAATATCCAGGTATCTCCTCAAAAGTTGCATGAATTAGATGTATTAGAATTAAAAATAATGCTAATTTAATGCCAACACCAAAGCATTAATTAATTCAAATGCAAATAATGCTCAAGCATCAGGTTTAATAATTAATGCTAATTCTTCTGCATTAAAATTTGCATTTTTTCAATGTTAACGCTAATTCTAATGCGACACCCTGGCTATTACTTTTTAGAAATCATCAAGGATAGCATTAAAAAAGACTTCAAAAATACTATCAAAAAACATACATAAAAACAGCACGAAATTCTCAAAAAATCGAGACGATCGGGCCCTTGTTGTGTTCAAGTGATCTTCTCTAAGGATCCGATAGATTTCGTCATGCTCTGCCAAATTAAGCTAGTCTCGCCACGACCTGACATATTAGAGTGCGATTATTTCGACAGGATAAAAATATCTTTGTAAGAATTACTATAACCTGAATAGATTCGCTTCTAGTCGGTTCTAAGTGGTGGGTGAGTAAGTGAAAGGAAGAACGGCACACATATCCTTTACTATTGATCTGATTACTTAATCTTTGTTCGGTTTCGAATGAGCTCTATTGTAATTGACACTTCAACCCTAGAATGCTTCGTTTGTGAACCCAACTGGACGTTCTAATGATGCATAGAAGTCATATAAAGTTTCTCGAATAGATCTTAAAGAAAAAAATTACAAGGTGGGTCCACATGAATCTCATAACAACTTTTGTATTATACAGATGATTATTAAACTTGTTGAAACTTTCAAGTGTCGTTTATAGAGTTTATGTTCCAGACGATTTGTTAATTAGTCACTGCTAATAGTGATGCAAATTTTTTTTTTCTCGTTTATTTCAAAGATTTTGTTGCATTTTGATCGAAACATTCGTGCCATTGCTTCTAATCATAACGTCCGTTCTCGGTTTTCCTTCCTTGGAAACATACTGAGTTTAAAAACGAAAAGAGGTCTCGAAGTACGGAGAGGCTAATACATTTTTGATTTTTTTGTGGATAAAAAATGACAACTAAAACAAATCAAAAAAGGATTCGAGAGGTTCTTATGACAAATATTGCTAATGACTATCACAAAAATACTTGTAAGGATGATGATTGGTATTCTGATCTCGATTATTCTGTTTGTGAATTAGAATTCGATGACACATCTACTGATAAAAATATTTCGAAAGAAGATGATTCATCCGATTTTAATATCAGTGATGATGATATACATATAAATATTCAACCTAAATCAATGGAACAAGATAAATCTAAGCAAAAACAACTAAAACACTTCCTTCGTGATGTTGATTGCATTATGTTTTATTCATTGTAACTCATAAAAATAATCAAACAAGAAATTCTAATCAGATATGTAGTTTTTTTCAAATAACATTTTAAAACCATAATGTTATTATAACGTCTTTTTAGAAGTGTCTTGTAAATTGTTAACATTCTCATACGTTAAGAAGCAGTGCCAATGCATGCGTATCTGAAAAGATCATGATGAATATCTTCGATTCATCCAAGTGTAGTGCAAATCAGATAAAAAAAATCAAGTTCCATTTACTGATTTTACAAAACATCTTCTGAGTGATAAGATATAACCAGCATTCGAGGGTTTATCCTATAGAAATGACCCTAGAAACTTCCTTTTATTTGTGATAAATTGAAAAATCAAGAATTCTCTTATGTTTTATGTCCTTCTTAGTTCAACCATTTTGTCGTGTATTGTCAGTAAAATTGCTATCCTTTTTTTCCAAAATTGGGTATCGATATAAAACAATACAAATTTAATACATCATAAAAAACAAAAGAGAAAACTGAAATGACAATTGTTCTCGACTTATAGATTCAGTTCGTAGGTTTATGTACTGATTGTATGAATAAAATGTTATCCACCTGATCAGCAACAATGAGGAAACTGTCGAACTGAACCATCATTTCCGACACCACCGTCAGGTCATAAGTAGAACTCAGTAAGATTAAGAGAACCTCAAATCATTGTGCCTATGACTCTTTGATTCACATATGTGATCAAATGAAGCTCTTGTTCGATATGACGCACAAAAAAAGCCATCTTGCCCATTACATACCTTCATAAGATATTCAAATCATAGGTGCCCTCGTGAATATTCGTTTATTCTCCATGCATTTAGTCGGAGTTCAATAAAGTTTCTCCTACAGTTTTATTCAATATTTAGCGACTCACAAATTATTGAAGATTCAGTTCATTTTCGAGTTTGGAAACACTTTCATAATATAACCTTCAAGATTAATTATAGAAACAAATGAGACAAAAGCATTGTTTTATTCCCCAAGTAATAGTAAATTAATAACACTAATGGATATCATCTAGAAGAAAAACACGTCATCTTCCAATACAGTTTTTGGTGGACTATTATTATAAAATAGTGTGCGCATAAGCGTGTCCTTGTTTTTTTAAGCCTTCCACAAAGGAAGTCTGCGCGTGATGCGACGGCTTTCATGATATGTTATGTCAGGATTCGGATCGACGAGTCCGTAGGCAAATAGAAGAACATTCATTCCTGGCTGGAAAAAAAGATACATGAAAAAGTGTTGAGCATGAGAATGATAGATACTACTTCGATGGGATTATCCAGGGAGTCTTTTGTATCCAATGCACGTTTGAATTGTATAGCCGTCCAACTATTTTCCTCTCGACCTTCCAAGCCAAACCAATCTTGTGTTGTTGAATCTTTGACTGGTTGTGTAAAACCAACAGCATATCGATCCTATTTTCATTTTACAAAATAATGTATCACATCGTTTCGATGGTAGCTAGTTTTACCTCAAAATGCAGTCTTCCATTTGCATCAATCCAACCAATACCCATGTCTGCGTTCTCACTCACTCCATCGGCTAGAAGAAAAACAAACCAAGAAGTTTATGCCTTCTCTGCAAATATCTTTCTCCTTCGTCGAATGTCTGAACGAGAACTGTCGGAGACTATCTTTCTCTTATCACTGTTTGATGTCATGTGAATGTTGATAGATCGGGAATGCATAAAGAACTGTTGAATATTCTAGTGTTCTGAACTAAAAAAGATTAGTTTCAAGAAACATGAAGTTAGATTCAGAAATATGAGAAACTGATTCTTTGATTTTTTATTTCGAATGCAACATCTAAATACTTCCTAAAACACTGCTCTCTCTTGGATCCGTCTATGAATCTGTTGAAAATATTTTCATAGATACTTGAAACATTATCCAGATGAATTTCTGATTACTTCAAAAGACGGTTGACATATTCTGTCCCAACGCTTTCCCGAATCCTTATGATATCTCGATGAACTCTTCAATCAGTCTAACCGAAGTGTCATTTTTATGCAAACGTCACAGGTTTCCAATATTCAATAACAAAGAAAGTGATCTTTGCGGAAAGCAAGATTAATGCAACATCTTACCTAGTGCAATACCAAGAGCAATCCATCCTGTCGTTTTGACATGTAATTCGAATACTATCTCCTTGTTGACATCGTTCACTGTCCACCACAAGTCTGCGACATTCTCGATGAGTTCGGTTGCATTTCGATATGTTGCAAACTGTCGAATGGGACTCGACATACATTGAATAAAACTCGCCAATTGGAGCAAAACCACGATAGTCAGGAAAAGTGAATTCTAAATAAATCGACACCTCAACTGTGGATATTGACGTTATATTCAACCTACCGTCATTGTTGTTTCCCGAGTATTTGAAAGATGTTTCTGTGATTATATCGAAAAACAGATTAATAAAGACAAATAAAGGATTATCGAACTATTCGTATAGTTAACATTATCAGATGGCTTACACAATGACAGTTTTTCGATAAGAACAAAGGCAAGCACAAAACAAAAAATATTAAAATGAAGATGGTAAGAAAGAGGTATTAAAAAAAGAAAAAGTTTACTTTTGTATCATGAGTGCTTTGGCATGGTCTATCATTTGCTTACTGTCAAATAATTCAAAAACATTTTACTCGATGTGAACACTCGTTCGATGACTAATCTGGAAGTATAGTGAGGGGAACACTAGTGTTAAAATCTCAATTATATTCATTATAAATGAGATTTTGTGAGTGGTCAATCCGTTTATTTTCGTTTTGGCTAATAATTAAGAAACCATAAAATTCTAGAATCGATGTTCCTCAATTGAATCGAGTCCACTTTGAACCTCGAATCTCTTAGCCACGATATTGAGATGACTTGAGTGTGATACTTAAATTTGCAACTTCGAAGACAAATGCGATAAGCCGAAATCGTGTGCCTATTGAATGCTGATATAAGTGATTCGATTGTTACGGCACCAATGAAGTACGAAAAATGAATGTGTCAGCCAGATCGACATATATACACAACCGCATAAACACGTTCGATGTCGTTTGGATGGTAATCATTTTTGCGTTCAAAATCGAACGTTCGCAGTTCATTACCCAGATCAACTTGATGATGATGATCAATACTGACAGATCCTTATGGGTTTTATTATGCTTTTCGATAGATGAATCTGAAATTAAAATACAAACAATTAGCAACATGTTCATATGAAACTTGTATCGGTTATATCTTTCTAAGTCTATTGTTTCATGATCAGTGGATATTGAAAGAATGCTTCATTGTGGGAATACTCATCATGCGACTGATCACCGTGCTGTTGTGACTACGTTCGGACATAAACCAAAACCTGAAAGCTAATATCATCGGGATAGATTACTTTAAAGGTTTTGTTTTGCTATTTGATTTAAGATAACGGTATATTCCACCTCCTGATTGAAAAGTAAATATGAATAAATGAAAGACTTATTCTAATGAAGCGTGAACGAAGAAACGTGTTCATCAAATTTTAATTCAAACTCAATAGGAAAACTCTTTGACCATCGTTACACGTACAGTTTTGTTTTTTCTTTTGCGACTTAGTTTTTAATGTTGGCTAGTATTCGTGAAAAGGTTATCATTTAATTATCTCTTGAACTACATACAGTAAATATGTAGCTTGACAATGACGATAAATAAATGTTTGTGATTCGACTATTTGCAAATATTTGTATTTAATTCAAAATATCGAATGGTGACGTTTATAATGTATCAATAGAAGTATCAAATGAAAAGTTTGCATTTTAACTCTTCAATGTCATTTTTTTCTATCATGACAATATGCTTCTCTTTTATTGGCTGTTATATCAAATAACTATTTCGTGTAACAAACATTTCACCAACGATCCCATGTGTGCGCTTTGTCTTGTCTTTTTGGCTTCTATAGAAACTTATCGCAAACAAAACTTACTATTTATTTTGACAAGTCGTAATATAATTTGTCACTGACAGAAGAAACAATAAATGAAAATGAGCCATCTAGGAAACATATATTTCCGTCATATTCGGCATTTCTGTCAGTCACAAAAATTTGTAATTATATTGTTTGTATTTCGAAGACACAATCGAACCAATCAGAATATAATGATACTTGGAAAAATGCATTTATTTCCTATGAGCAATAGCAAATCTTCACTAGTAATTTGACAGTAAAAAGATGATGATGATTTTTCACGGTAAGAAATAACAGGTTATCCTTTCTCATCAGTTTATACAGATAATCATCGATACAATATGTTTGATGAGGAATAGCACAGCTACGCATAGTATAATAACATTGTAATCCATTTTTGTGATCCGTAAAATTTTCACCTGTTCCGCACTTCTCGTTTACTAAGAATTAATAAATGACATCAGAAAAAAAAACAAATATTTTTTTTTTCAAGTTACCGAGCTAATCATGCTGTGATGGTATCTTCACATTAGAAAAAAGGACATTTTTTCTTGGCAATTCTTCAGCATTACCAATGCGTCAAAAGCGTTCTGCCATGAATACTTCTACGAATGACACGGAATTCGCTCCAATGATAGAAAATGGGCGATGGCTCAAATTAGTGATCTTTCCTATTGTTCAAGTGCCTTGGTGTCTCTGTGCAATCTTTCTGATATATTATTTGATATTCAATCCACGATTACGTCAATCATTATCCAATCATACTATTCTTCTCTTGTTAGTAATAAGTCTTTTCTTCAATACGAATGTTTTGGGAATTCTCGACGATTATTGGCGTCGTTCATATTCTTGACCACCATCGGATTTATTCGTTCTATGTTTATAAAGCTGGTCACAAAAACAGTCAGTGTGAGTTCTCAAACTCAGCGATTCAGAGTCAAAATGTGATGTCTGCTGCCTATGGTACCCAAAGCATTTGAAAAACGTTCTTTCCTCAAATACTCCCAAGAGCATGCCGATTATATGTGCTTTTGCCAGCTGATTACGAATATCATATTTATATTTCGATTGGAGTGACATGTTGACCCTTTGTCAGTCATTGGAACGTCTATTCAATGTTGAATTTCAATGTTCGATCGATCTTTTGTCTTCAAATTAAAATTATGTTCTTGTTTGAGTCGATCAAACATCTCGTCATGAATAAAATTACCTAGAAGGCATCGGTGTGGATGTGGGGGAAGGTTTGGGTGCCTAATGAATAATGAACTAACATCCACACGCACACCCAAATCACAATTAGCAATAAGAACAAAATCATAACAAAGAGCATCTTTAAAAATAACTAAAAGAATTAACATCAGTGTCCTTCTTTTTCTTAGTTTGTATCATCACTTTTCCAACGCTTCCATATTACATATGATTTTCGATATATAAAAAAGAGTCTCTCTATGGAAAACCGCTCGTACCATTCCAAAATTCCTCGAAAATGAGTTGCTGATATTCATGTAAAAATTAGAATTAGATACACGATTTTGAGACGACTGGGAACTTAACGAAAAAGACAATCGTTGTTTCGAAATTTCATGAGAATAGCTTAAAATGTGAATATTTTTCAATATTTCGGCACTTTAAAATACTGATTGAGCTCTTTTGACAACGACAGTATGCTGTTGTGATTATGTATAGGCTTGTGAATTGTTTACCTAAATCATTGATTCTCTTAGTTGATCTCCATTGTTTAATAAGGAGTCATCAATAAACACAGAATCTCTAACGTTGACTATCTACCGGATGATCCTCGTCGCCACACCAAGGCCAGTATCTATATTGTTTCGAGGATAAAGTGATGAATTGATTTTAATAAACAAACCATAATGTATATGACTAATATCTGCTGAAGAAGAACTGTTACAAGATAATTATAAGTCAAGCTATCTCGCGATTGACACACACTTTCAATATCCATCCATTAAAAATCACGATGCTACAAATGATAATAATAAACTGACATCCATTTGAAAATAAAAGACACATTGTCATTTTCTTGTGAATAAATTTCGCTTAGTACACATTCTTTCATATAGAATTCGACCAGACGCATTCAACCTGTGCAAATTGAAAGTTTATCTAATTTCTACTGATCTTATGATTAATTTATTTCTTCATCGTCTTCCAATACCAGTATTTTCTCTCCATTATTATTGTCCTCGTCTTCATTAAATTCCATAGTGGTAACTTCTCTCAGAATGCTTATATCTGTTCCTATCATCTACGTATTTTAGATTTTCTTTTGTTGTTATTGTCGTCGACATCTTATCCTATGAAAACAGAGTTCTATTTTGTCGGCACCGTGGTTTCTTTATCATTTCGTTCTCCAATGTCAACTATTGCCTGTGTGACGAATGACTATCAGAATCACTCCTATTGGATTTGTTCCATGTGAACTGAGTATATTCCACACTAATAGAAGAAACAGACAAATCGAAAAACTAAACAAATGACGAGAGATTAGCAAAACATTTTCGGCAGAGGAAAGAAAATCACAACAACAACAACAGTCATAGAATCATCAATAGATTGATGAAC